GTTAACAAATCAACCAATTGTCCATTACTTTAAGAGGATTTTCAAAATTACTAATATATTTTTCAGAAGTGTAGAAACTACCTTTATTGATGGGATACTTGCCCTGAAAGCAAACTCTATGTATTTGCATTTAATAACAATGTGATAAGAGGCTTTTGATGGTGTTGGAGGGTCAGAAGTTGGCTGTCTATACTTTTTAGAAGTCTTTTTCATTTTGAACTCTTACCTCTCCAAATGCTCCTCGGCCTATTACTTTTAAAGATTCAAAGTCTTCCAACCCAAGCCTTGTTCTTTTTAGGCGCAGAAACTCTGTTTCCTTTCGGGCATGTGCTGATCTCCTCATTCTTTTCTAGTTGTTGTTCAAAAAAAGGAGGGGGGGAAAGGTTAATGTCATTTTCTATTTTATTTTTTTTAAATCAACAGCTAGGCCAGAATCATTCACAGCAAAAGCTTGTTATCTTTACTCTGGTCTTTGACACCTCAGGTGTATTCTTAGGACCCTCCCTTCTTTTTGTGGCTGCATTCCATAATTGTATGTTTTAAAACTATTTTTAATGTTGTATTTTAAATTGTTGTGATCCATCCTGTGACCTTAGGGTGAAGGGCAGGTAATAACTTTAAATTATTGATGATTATGATGATAATAATAATAATAATAATAATAATAATACAGGGGTGATGAGAAACAAGACCAAGAAAGCATGTTTCAGCATATGCAATACCTCTTCATCTTTTAAGCCTTCTTCTTCCATAACTTTTTCTAACTTCTTCTGTCTGGAAAAAAAAAGAATAAAGTTTTTGAACAAGGTCTCCACAAGTTCATGCATACAACTTCAGGACAGAATAGAGCTGCCAGGAATTGGAACACTGAATTCCAAGGCTTCATTTCTCAATGCACACAGCAATCAAGATAAACACCCTGCTTTCTGCTTTGAACTTCTGGCAAAACGAACAGGGAAATTTGCTCTTATCATGCATTTGCATCATACAAATTAAGTCTTTTGGTAAAGAAAAAGGGGCACGAAACAAGAGAAGAGTTTAATCATTTATAATAAAAAGGACGTACAAACAAACTGATTGCAGGATGAGCGACTTCCTGGAAGGTATCAAGACCTGATTTAGATCAACCATCAAATATCTTACTGCAGGTCAAGGGTGTGTCTGTGGTGGGAAAGGGCTCACAGGAGATAGCTGGCAAAAACAGAGGCCACATCATCGCTGCCAATCTAATACCCCCAATCCATAATGCACAACACAACTGCATTTGTCACTGGGTGGAACAGTAGAATGTAAAAAGTGGAAAGGACTTCATTTCAAAATGACCTTTGAAACACTATAGAGAGCTTCTTAGACTATAAAACTACTTCCATTTCTATGAAAATGATCAGTCTCTTCAATTCTAACCAATCTGTCAGCTTAATAAACCTTTAGTTATTCTGTATATGCAAACAAAAAGCTGGATAAATTTAGGGAGGATATAGAAGGGAGTAGATCTGATGGATTTTAGCAAGGCCTTTCAAGAAAATTGCTCAAAGGCAATGTATTTCAAAAGAACTGAAACTCCTTACGATAGAATTCTGAGGCAAGGGTTCCTGTGAGCTTCATTCAGGTGGTCTTCAGAATGTCCACATTAAATTATTATGTTGATTTTAAACTGTGTTGTATTGCTGCTTCTTTATTATATTTTACTGCATTATTAATTTGAATTCCATAAAATGCAAATTGTAATACAAAAAATACAATATAAGAAATAAAAAACAAAAATAATAATACAGCATCTAGCACAATACATTACAAATTATACAACACACAGGGGGGAAATATGAAGCGCGCCCCCCCCCTCAAGATCATCAGCTAACCTGAAGTGGTCCCCCAATATCATCCGGGGTGGGGGAAAGCAACCACTGTTCTAGGGTACCAGTCAAGCACACACAATCAAATGTACCTCACGGTTTGAACCATAGAATTGTAGAGTTGGAAGGGACCCCAAGGGTCATCTAGTACAACCCACTGCAATGCAGGAATGTTATTCCATGTGAACTGACAGCATGTCCTAACAAAGATTTCACAAGACTGGATGTAATAGTAAAAGACTGGCAGCAGTGACAAGCTATTTCTATAACTGATCTTCTCATTGATAAGCCTAATAAGCTTTCAACTACAACATCTATAGAGACGCTGGTGGAGTTTTCCCCACCAAGGGAAGGGAAATGTGTAACTACCAGAGAGGTGTTTTTCAGCAGTGGCTTCACCTTCAAGGACCTATGTTCCAATTGGCATTCAACAGAATGAAGAGAGGGGTGTTTGTTAAATATTTCAAATAAGGGAAAGCTAAACTGGAACAATGGTTTTATGCATTAATATTTTTTTATGGAGCACATTTGACCACTACTTGTAGCAGGAAGTAGTTAATATATTTTACAGATAAATATAAAATACAATACTTAGAAGGGAATGAAATCCAGGAAGGAGTTAAAATGTGTTTAGAGAGGCTGCTTTTGATTATAGTACACAGTAGAGCCAAGTGCATTTCGCAATAAAAACTGTTTATACTGGACACACTGAAATAAAATAAAACATAACACTAGAGAGAGAAAAACAACTTTCATTCCAGGAAAATGCTGCTACTAGTTTTCATCAAGCATCTGCAACATATGCCTTTCTTGAAATGCACAACAAGAGGATAGCATGGGCACTGAAAAAATCATCATACTAAAATATTTAAAGGCTTTTTGAGGACTTAAAAGTGCTATAAAAACTTTTAGCAGGATAAGATGATCAGCGTATTTGTGGCATCCATTGTTTCTTAAATCTTGATATAAGGAAAATAACATTACTTCCATTTTCATGAAGCTGGGATATTTACCTCATTTCTCGTTCCTCATGCTGTGCAATCAGATTACTGTAGAAGTTTTCTAATGTCACCTTTGTCATTGTAACTCGCTCCTTGGTGTGGTTGCTCATAGATGAACAAGGTGCTGGGCCAGTCATCGCCATGGTTCCTGGAAGAGAGAAATTAGAAAATATATGTGATCCTAAACCTTGAAGCAAGAAATCTACACTACATGATGGCTTAAATTTAAATAAAGCAGGCAGTTTAAAAATAAACAAAAGCTTTGCAAAACGCAATATGCCCAAACTGGAAGCTACAAGTGTAAAAGGCCACAATGTTGCAAAACTTCCTGTTTTTCTACATAAGTTATGAACAAGGAGGAAAGAAATGTGATAACTATTAAGTCTCTGAATGACATTTTCAGGTTACATTACAAATGATGTCTCTTATTACTTTCATCTCCATTCAATTAAAATTCTACCAACATGTTTTAAACCAATCATAGTACGTATTTCCATGTAAAAGTATTTACAAACACAGCACAAGCCACATTTATTTCCTTGGAACTTGCTTCTATTGAGTAACAGACAATATCTGCAGGGCTGTCAACAAAGACTGAGCAAATTTGTTTCTGTTGCTCTAGAGCCTAGGGAAAGGGAATATTGATTACACTTTGGAAAGAAAGAATGTCCTGACCATATGAACTGCTAGACAGTGGAACAGGCTACCACACAAGGTAAAGAACTGTTGGAGGTTTCTAAGCACAAGATGGATGGCCACCTAGTTATCACAGATAACTAGAGTAGCAGATAATATACCTAAGTAGAAGTGGACTAGATGGTTTTTAATCCTTCCAACTAAGATTCTAATCAGTAATTTTCAGTTCAAATTTACTTGGAGATAAGTCCCAGTGACTTCAATGGAGCTTACCTCCAAGCAAGTGTTCATAGACTACAGCCCAAGCAGTATTTTTCCTTTGTGTGGACAGCAGAGACAAAAGTTTCTGTTCCTATTTTCTTCACAGTGTAACTAGCCGACCTAGAACCAATTAGCTCTTACACATTTGCTTTAGTTAACAATTGTAACTGCTTTTAAAATCTTCCCAATTTCATCAGAACTTCTAACCAAACAAAGGTTATATAAAATAATTCTTTGAACTAATTAGAGTATTTTGCTCGCATGGCTCTTTGAATGCAATCGTTTTATGGTGCACTCCCTTCCAAGAAAGCTGTACAAAATATAAATTATCTCTTGTGATACTAGGCAACTGCAGCTCCTTTTTGCCAGTTGAAATTTCCCATTAGAAAAATTATCATCATCCCCAAGAACCAGAGTGTCACTATGGCTCATCTGCAGTGTACCTAGCCTATCATGCCAGTTACAGGATCATGCCGCATGATACAGCCATGGCGTCCCACAAAGTTTGTTATAGGTATTAAGGGTTGTTAGGAAGACCCCTGTTTCTCTCAAGGAGCTACAGTTTCTCAGGATCTCTGGGAATTGTAGCTCTGTGCAGGGAATAGGGGTATCCTAACAACTCTGACCATGCTTAACAAACCACAATTGCCAGGATGCTTTTGGGGGGAAACCACAGATGTTTTAAAGTGGCATGGTACAGCTTTAAATGTGGAAAAAGGTAAAAGGCGGATCTACACGGATCCTCGTGAATTCATATGATTTTTTCATTCAAATTAAATAAAACCACCATGATATTGTAGACCATGTCTTACTCTGTAGAAAGCATCAAAAAAATCACGCATCCACTGTTTCGGGGGGGCGCAGGGGCGCAAAAACATGGTTAAAAAACACGGATCCTCATGGATCCTCATGATTTTTCCACTAGATCAGCCCAAAGTCACCATCAGATCAAAGATCATGGCCATGGGCACAGCATCCACCACAAAAATCACGGATCCACGGCTTCCTGGCGAAACCGTGGCCCAAAAACGTGGTTTTCAAGAACGGATCTTCATGGATCCACACGCTTTCTTTATCAGGCCAACCCAAACTCACCGTCAAATCACATATCATAGTAAGGGGCACAGCCTACACCACAAAAAACTCGGATCCACACCTGCCTGGCCACTCCCTGGCCCAAAAACGTGGTTCCGAAGCACGGATCCTCATGAATCCTCATGATTTTTGCACTAGATCAGCCCAAAGACACCATCAGATCAAACATCATGGCCATGGGCACAGCATCCACCACAAAAATCACAGATCCACGACTTCCTGGCGAAACCGTGGCCCAAAAACTTGGTTCCGAACCACAGATCCTCATGGATCCTCACGCTTTTTGCATCGGGCCACCCGAAACTCACCGTCAAATCACACATCATGTCCAGAGGCACAGCCTGCACCACAAAAATCACGGATCCACGGCTTCCTGACCATACCGTGGCCCAAAAACGTGGTTTTGTTTTTTTAAAAAGATTTTTATTGCATTTTTTCAAACATAGACAGAAGAAAAAGAAACAAAGAAAACAGACAAAAAGAAGATAAAAAGAATCATAACCCTTCAACAACTTATTTCAACTTTCTATCGAACTTCCCCGCATCTCCCACACAATGCATTCTTAACAATAAATTTATCAGCAAATTATAACCTTGTTTCATGTGATAAATTTATCAGCAAATTATAACCTTGTTTCGTGGTTTTGAAGCACAGATCCTCATGGATCCTCATGCTTCTTGCATCGGGCCACCCCAAACTCACCGTCAAATAACACATCATGTCCAGGGGCACAGCCTGCACCACAGAAAACTCGGATCCACGGCTTCCTGGCCACTCCATGGCCCAAAAACGTGGTTCCGAAGCACGGATCCTCATGGATCCTCACGCTTTTTGCATCGGGCCACCCCAAACTCACCGTCAAATCACACATCATGTCCAGAGGCACAGCCTGCACCACAAAAAACTCGGATCCACGGATTCCTGGCCACTCCATGGCCCAAAAACGTGGTTTTGAAGCACGGATCCTCATGGATCCTCACGCTTTTTGCACTAGATCAGCCCAAACTCACCATCAAATCACACATCATTCCCAGGGGCACAGCCTGCACCACAGAAAACTCGGATCCACGGCTTCCTGGCCACCCCATGGCCCAAAAACGTGGTTTCGAAGCACGGATCCTCATGGATCCTCACGCTTTTTGCATTGGGCCACCCCAAACTCACCGTCAAATCACACATCATGTCCAGAGGCACAGCCTGCACCACAAAAAACTCGGATCCACGGCTTCCTGGCCACTCCATGGCCCAAAAACGTGGTTCCGAAGCACGGATCCCCATGGATCCTCACGCTTTTTGCACTAGATCAGCCCAAACTCACCATCAAATCACACATCATTCCCAGGGGCACAGCCTGCACCACAAAAAACTCAGATCCACGGATTCCTGGCCACTCCATGGCCCAAAAACGTGGTTTTGAAGCACGGATCCTCATGGATCCTCACGCTTTTTGCACTAGATCAGCCCAAACTCACCATCAAATCACACATCATTCCCAGGGGCACAGCCTGCACCACAGAAAACTCGGATCCACGGCTTCCTGGCCACCCCATGGCCCAAAAACGTGGTTTCGAAGCACGGATCCTCATGGATCCTCACGCTTTTTGCATTGGGCCACCCCAAACTCACCGTCAAATCACACATCATGTCCAGAGGCACAGCCTGCACCACAAAAAACTCGGATCCACGGCTTCCTGGCCACTCCATGGCCCAAAAACGTGGTTCCGAAGCACGGATCCTCATGGATCCTCACGCTTTTTGCACTAGATCAGCCCAAACTCACCATCAAATCACACATCATTCCCAGGGGCACAGCCTGCACCACAAAAAACTCGGATCCACGGATTCCTGGCCACTCCATGGCCCAAAAACGTGGTTTTGAAGCACGGATCCTCGTGGATCCTCACGCTTTTTGCACTAGATCAGCCCAAACTCACCATCAAATCACACATCATTCCCAGGGGCACAGCCTGCACCACAGAAAACTCGGATCCACGGCTTCCTGGTCACTCCATGGCCCAAAAACGTGGTTTTGAAGCACGGATCCTCATGGATCCTCACGCTTTTTGCATTGGGCCACCCCAAACTCACTGTCAAATCACACATCATTCCCAGGGGCACAGCCTGCACCACAAAAAAAACTCGGATCCACGGCTTCCTGGCCAATCCAAGGCCCAAAAACGTGGTTTTGAAGCACGGATCCTCATGGATCCTCACGCTTTTTGCACTAGATCAGCCCAAACTCACCGTCAAATCACACATCATGTCCAGGGGCACAGCCTGCACCACAAAAAACTCGGATCCACAGCTTCCTGGCCACTCCATGGCCCAAAAACGTGGTTCCGAAGCACGGATCCTCATGGATCCTCACGCTTTTTGCATCGGGCCACCCCAAACTCACCGTCAAATCACACATCATGTCCAGAGGCACAGCCTGCACCACAAAAAACTCGGATCCACGGATTCCTGGCCACTCCATGGCCCAAAAACGTGGTTTTGAAGCACGGATCCTCATGGATCCTCACGCTTTTTGCATTGGGCCACCCCAAACTCACCGTCAAATCACACATCATTCCCAGGGGCACAGCCTGCACCACAGAAAACTCGGATCCACGGCTTCCTGGCCACCCCATGGCCCAAAAACGTGGTTTCGAAGCACGGATCCTCATGGATCCTCACGCTTTTTGCATTGGGCCACCCCAAACTCACCGTCAAATCACACATCATGTCCAGAGGCACAGCCTGCACCACAAAAAACTCGGATCCACGGCTTCCTGGCCACTCCATGGCCCAAAAACGTGGTTCCGAAGCACGGATCCCCATGGATCCTCACGCTTTTTGCACTAGATCAGCCCAAACTCACCATCAAATCACACATCATTCCCAGGGGCACAGCCTGCACCACAAAAATCACGGATCCACGGCTTCCTGACCATACCGTGGCCCAAAAACGTGGTTTTGTTTTTTTAAAAAGATTTTTATTGCATTTTTTCAAACATAGACAGAAGAAAAAGAAACAAAGAAAACAGACAAAAAGAAGATAAAAAGAATCATAACCCTTCAACAACTTATTTCAACTTTCTATCGAACTTCCCCGCATCTCCCACACAATGCATTCTTAACAATAAATTTATCAGCAAATTATAACCTTGTTTCATGTGATAAATTTATCAGCAAATTATAACCTTGTT